ACACACACACACACACACACACACACACACACACACACACACACACACACACGTACACGCACACGCACGCACGAACGCACACACAGACTATGGAGTTTGACGATGATGGCGACAGCGCTTTGATAGCTATTATTTTTGGCGTAGCGTGGAGACAGTGTCCGACTGGTTCATTAGCGATACGGATAAGGAAGTAATTAAGTGCTTGGATGGATCGATGGGTTCAAGGATAGAGATGATGTCCAGGACGGTGATTGGATAGGATGATGTTCATTACTGGACATGCTCTCTATCCTTGAGCTGATCGATGCACGGATGCTTATTTCGGCGCGTGTCCAACGGATGCATGGCACTGTAGATAGGTCTCTGTGGAGACTAGCCATTGCCCCCTAATGATGATGATCAGGGTTATTGCATATTCTTAATGCGTCTTCGGTGACATCTGTTGGGGGAGGGATACGCATATTATAGAAACATGTTCTAAATGTGTCTCCTATATGACACTACTAACACTAGTAACGTTATGTTAGTTACAGGGACCTTTTTTGCCTTTGATATGTTAGCATTGAAACGTAACAAAACATTTTTTAATCGGAGTTGCGAGTTTCGAGAAATAGCGCTTGAAAAATCACCTACTTTAGCATTTTTAACAACCGAGATATCAGCACTTTTCTAAATTTCCCATCATCGAACGCCTGTGTTAAGAATTAACTAATGCGGGGATTTAGAACCGTTTGGAGGGCTATACATACATAATTTCTACGTATACATAGTTGCCCATGGCTGCGATCTATCAAATAAAGTGGGTATTGAAATTTCGACCGAAATTCACCTCCCAACCCTAACAGTATCATATTAACGTGTCATTTGCTATGTGATGATGCTAGGGGCTGTAGCTAGACGACATTTTCTTGATATGTCGCTGGATATTTCTTGATGTGGCATTTGTTATTTAAAGCAGTGCTGTAGCTACGCTAGGCGGAGGCGGAGGTGGTTTGTATGTTAAACAGGGCTGCACGTCAGGCCTGTACGTAGCAGTTTTTAATTCGACCTTTGCGTTTATATTTTCGTGAAACGATCGTTGGCGGTGTTGGGTGGTGATTATAGTGTGTGCTGCTGCCGTGGTGTGTAGGCAGTGTGTTGCTACAACTGCTGTACGTAACCGCAATTCACGGCTTTTTCTTCTCTTCTTCTTCCTTCTCCCGATCCTCCCCCATCTTCCTCCTCATCTTCCTCTTCCTACGCCTTCTCTTTCTTCTTTTTCTTCTTCTCCTTCTTCTTTTTCTACTTCCGCCTCTTTATTTTTCTTTATCACCGTCATCTTCTTTCTCTTCTTTCTCTCCTCCCGTTTCCTCCTCTACCTCTTCTCCTTCGCCCGTCTGCCTGCTGCTTTTCATCAATCATCCGATGCATTTTTTTTATTTCCAGAGGGCTGCGAAGGTGTAAATAAAGAGCCATTCTTGTGAAACGCATGAGAGAAAAAGAGAGTTCAGCCCGCAGCAGGGGGTATTCGGCAGGTTTAGGGAAGAACTGCTAAGGAGGGTTGATTCGGGAAAGACATATCACATCATGAGCGAGAAGGCAGGAATGATACGCCGGTACAGCGTCATCACTAGAGGTCAGTGTCACTGTCGTCCTCGCTGTCGCCAACAATTGTTATTATTAGCTTTATGATTATTTTAGTAATAATATTGCTATTATTATTATTATTATTATTATTGCTGTTGTTATTGTTATTGTTGTTGTTGTTGTCGTCGTCGTCGTCGTCGTTGTTGTTGTTGTTGTTGTTGTTGTTGTTGTTGTTGTTGTTATGTAGCGACGTGTGGTCGCTGTAAATTCACTCGCTGCGTGCATATGTAACTCGCGGTAGGCGACACGTGCTCCCACGATCTCAGGGGCGGATTCAGACCGTATTTGCCGTATTGGGAAATACGGTCTAGATTTCAAAGTGCCCTTCGAAATTTTGCGCTCACTGTGGGGTGGTGTGCCCTTTTTGGGCGATGTGCTCTTTAAATCTGGAAAAATACTGTCTAGCCTCAGCCCTGGAACCGGCCCTGGATCTCATCGTAAAATACATACGAGGAAATTGTTCCACTCTTCATATACCATCAGAACAAAGGGAGGATAAGAGGCAAAGTGTGAGTTCAAACTCAACAAGCTTCCTTTCATAGGAATGCATGGCGAGATCGATAACAGTTACTATTGTGCGTGCGTGCGTGTGCGTGTGTGCGTGTGTGCGTGCGTGCGTGCGTGTGTGTGTGCGTGTGTGCGTGTGTGCGTGTGTGCGTGTGTGCGTGCGTGCGTGTGCGTGCGTGCGTGCGTGCGTGCGCGCG